CCATCGTCCAGCTGCCTCCCACACTTCCGTTTCCATCATGCTGATCCGACCTATGCTGAGATAGTAGGATGGACGAATTCCGATAGAGAGGACCGTGTGCCGCAGCAAGCTACCCATACCGTTGGCATCGGAGCTTGTGTGCTGGATCAACATAGTAAACCATCATCAGTAGCGTATAGGGCCTTTTACTGCCTTATTCTCTCAGATAGAGTTTTATTGGTCCAGGAAGCTACTGGGCCTGCTGCGAGTATCAGATTATGGAAGCTGGTTACTGGTCTTGTCGAGGCAGGGGAAGAGATTGAAAACGCAGCCATGCGGGAGGTCTATGAGGAGACCGGCATTACAGCGACATTCGAACGAGTACTTGCTGTCCGTCACACGCATAGAGGGACGACTGAGCTGGGGTCTCGATCGGATCTATTCTGGGTATGCATATTAAGGATGGATGAGGACAATGAGGCCAATAAGGCTGTGCTTAATCTCCCAATGCTGCCACAGAGTTATCTTCAAGCGAGTGAGATCAAGGAAGCGAAATTCGTACCACATCAACAACTTCACGACATTACAGGTAACACAAGTACCACTATTCTATTCTGTTTACAGCCCCTCGATCGGCCATTCAAAGCATTGAGTAATTGCCATATGTTCTTAGGCGTACCAGTAGGTAGCACTATGTGGTGTATATACAAACAAGTTGAGCATTATATAGAGACCAATGAAGGCGGCCTTAGACATGCCATTGTCCCTTCTGGGATTCTTGGACCACAACCATCCCATATCTATTATTAATCTATCGTGCTCACTGAACACTGCTCAGTATACAGACGCTCGTTAGTTAGCTATCTAATGCAGCCAATATATCTCCTACTAGTACTATTCTCCTGCAACACATTGGTAGTTTCGTGTTTCGTCCTCTGTCACTGCATATCTTGGGTGAGCCGCCAATTATGTACCGCTCGAGCTCCATTGCGTGAATCGTATTCCTTGTTAGGGGTTTCCAAAGGCGGTACTATGTGGTACGTATACGATCACATCATGAGGTATATCGAGAGGAAAGAGGGCGGTATCGATTCCATCATCCTCCGGGGGCGTGCCTTTGATACTCAGCAACTGTATTACAGTCTCAAGTGAACTTTTTTTCCGCGCAATCCTATTGTGTTATATCAGTATACAAGCCTAAGATTGACCTTAAACACAGAACCAAAATGAGAGAGCTGGAAAGATTATTGCTGGATACGATGTCACATGGTTGGAAACCGAACCGGTATCAGTGGAGTAGGAGGGAGAGCCACGCGTGCATTAGCTTCGACTGCCTGTGAAGATGGGGAATAGAGCAACATTGTACTTGGGCCTCTGATGCTACCAGTACTACTGCAATACATCTTCAATCTATGAGTTATCGAACCGACATCCCAGAGTCTTACAATATGGGGTCAGTTCCCTGACGCACAACCCGTGACGGTCAAGTACTTTGTCTTAGGGCGTTGAACGCCTTGAGGGCCGAATGAGCGCGGCTACTCGAGGTATCTCATCTGTGCGCTAGCCCAGCTGATTCATCATATAGTACAGTATATAGAGAGGCATCAGGGACAACAGATGAGCTCACCAAAGATGCACTCCACAGTCCACATAAGAACCCACTAGGGTTCCTCGGGAGGCCCCACAAGAACCCAATCTCGCTATTCCTCCAATATGTGCTTTCAGAGACTGCATAAGTTGAGTACATCTCAAGCATGTCCTGATAACGATCTACCAACTACATCGACCAGCACGCAACTGACTAAAGACCGCGCTCGTGGTGTTCGATGATGATGGTAACCACCATCGACTATCATCAGTCTGATGGCACCAGAGGCCGAGTTATTAGTCGCTAATGCAACTTATATCCACTCCACTTGGCAACAACACAATACCAATATTCAAGCAATGTCGTAGCATGCAAACGAGTATCATATGAAAAGGAAGCCAATCGACTATCATGCTGGCCCATCAGCTATTCCACTCCATTCCTCACGAGTAGTATATAGACAACAATAGATTATCATCATCCACTCTGATAGGACACCGCTGGCTGCCCGCCGCTCGTCAGTTGCGTGTTGGATTGTATCTACCCATACAAGGCTGTACAAAAGATGATGGGGACATTGGTGTACCCGGCAGTAGACGAGTGGCCGCCGCTGAAGGTGGAATTATAGGCATTCACAGGGGCCGGTGGATAGTAATGACGACTGAAGGGCGGGATAGGAAGGTCGGGTAGTCACTATCAGACCCTTACGGTGGTGGCCCTGCTTGGGAAGGGGCGTGCTGCGATCCATTGGAGCGCATGAAATAGCTGAGACCACGAATCTTATAGAGAATATACAGGCCTCCCTTACTGATTGTGTTGATTCTGTCCCATGGTACCAGCACTCTTCCCTCGAGGCTGTTGTTGTTGATGTGAGGCATAATTATGATGATAAACGTTACCACGACTAGCCGCTGTAGACGGTACCGATGGGCTCGAGTACCTACCCACAGTGGATACTAATATTCTCCTTCCCTCATAGTAGCCCACTGCTTGTGGTATCCAGTCTGTGGTTGCTGACTCCCTGATGGAGACGTGAAATACTGCTTCGATGACGTCGCTTGGTGTTGGGCGGCGGCGGCAGCGGGTGAAGTCTGTTGATGATGATGATGCCGACTTCTGAGGCAACAGTGAATACTCAATTGACCCCCTCCATGTCGCTACC